GATTATAGTTACCACTACATTTTTTAGTTCCGAAATTATTTCTGATCTGATTTCTTCTATACCTTTCTGCAGTTGATTCTTTACTGTCAACGCTATAATTTCAGAGATACCTGGTGTGTGATTTCCACTTTCCTCAGTGCTAGTGTCTTCTGCATTTGTACTGGGTGGACTCAGGGCCTAAGACTGCATTTTGTTCTTCTCTTTGTCATTTTGTATACCACTGTCTTCTGACCTTTGGTGTAGAGCTTAGATAGAGTTATTACCTCAGCACCAGGTCTGGATCTATAAAGTTTGGATTCCTCCAGGTGGGTGTTGCTTTGATCTGGCTGCTGTACTCCACTTCTTTCTGCTGCAGCCATTAGAGTTAAACCCTTTGTATCACTCTGTCAAGATGTTGTGCTCCTGAATCAGCTGGGTGGGTCTTGCCTCTAGCCTCTTTGCAGGGAGTTCTGCTGAAGGGCTCCCTGCTGGGCCTGTGCTCTGGGTCTGTTCAGGATCCCGCGGCCTGGGTTGTCTCATTCACTTGCCGGGCCTGCACTCTGGGTCTGTTCAGGATCCTGCGGCCCCAGGTCATCTCACTCACTCCCAGGCCTGCGCTCCGGGTCTGTTCAGGATCCCGTGGCCCAGGTCTTCTCACTCACTTGCCGGGCCTGTGCTCTGGGTCTGTTCAGGATCCCGCGGCCCCAAGTCATCTCACTCACTCTCCGGGCCTGCGCTCTGGGTCTGTTCAGGATCCCACAGGCCCTCAGTCGTCTCACTCACTCTCCGGGCCTGTGTTCTGGGTCTGTTCAGGATCCCGCGGCCCTGGGTCGTCTCACTCACTCCCAGGCCTGTGCTCTGGATCTGTTCAACACACCTGTACTCTTCAATTAACAGAACTAAACAAAAAAGGGGATAGAGCTGAATGTCCATTTTTTATCTGTGTATTCAAAATGTTTAGGATAAATATATAGTTACATTCTCTTAGTGAATAGACGGCTTTGTTCTAATAGTGTTTGTAAATAGGATATCATGTCTGCATATTGTATAGCAAATAACCACTGGGAAGAATGTATGCAATGTGGGAATTATTGAAACTGTCCTACCAATTTGGTTTGAAACTGTCTCATTGCTATTTGTTTATCAATAAAGTTATGGAAAAAAACCTTTGTTCATTATTCCTGTTTTGCAAATCTGTAACACATACATTGTTGTATGTTACCCTATTTCTGCCCTTTTCTCTATTTGCTTGTGCTTCACTTTTCAAAATAAAATAAAATAAATTTTTTTTAAAAAGCTCCAATTTTTTTTCAGATACAGTTGTCATCTTCTTCTTGAACATCATCCATCATTCTCCAATCCCTGAATTCTTTCCTAAATTTCTTACAAGTATATTTCTTGTAGAACTATATTCCCCAGTCTCTCATGTCTAGCAGTAGAACTTTCCTTGAACAAGCATTTCTTGTTCATTTACCTTGCTTCAGTGCATTGGCAACACAGCTGTCAGTGTTTTTCACAAATGAATCCTTCACTCAAGTCACAGCCTCTTACAGAGTAAGCTTCACAGGTTCCATTATGTCAAATATTAATGGAAGACTTAGGAAACTGGAGTGGCAACAGCAATGATCATCCACACAAAAAGAACAAGAAGTTATAGGTGCCAAAATTATTTCACATGAATGCATTAAGCACATCAGTTATAACACACAGTGAATTGAATGATGAAGATTCATATTAAACAGTTCATATCCCTGTCCCAGTACCAAATGTAGGGATGTGTTGGTGTCTCTGTGTATCCCAGGGAAAATCCATGGCAGGAATGAGGAAAAGATAAACAAGAAGAAAGATCTGGGTGCAGGTGGAGTCCTGTTTCCCTGATGGGCAAAAGATCCAAAGAACAATAGTTGGGTTATTTATTTATACCTTTGCAAAGTTGGTATCACAAGACACAAGGTTGCCTAGTGACTAATAGCCAAAATTGTCCAGGCAGGATACTTTCCTCACAATGGAGGTAGCTTGACTGCTTTAGGCCCTGAGGCCTTGTCCTGCTATCCCACATTTGACCAATTTCCAGCTTCAATGCTCCCAATAAGACACAACCATGTGTGTTCATTATCAAGTATGAATGTTATTTGTGCATTGTGTCTATACTCTGATGGGTCATTTGGCAATATGTCTGGAATTCTCTGTTTACATAGGCATTTACCTCTCATCCAAGGGCACTCATTTCGGTGTTTACAAATGCTTGCTTATAAGTTTTATTATTTATTTTAAGTATTGTCAATATTATTTATATTTAATTGTACTTCATGACTCAATATGTCCATCATGTGCTTCAGTGCATGTATGAAATGTGGCCGTCTGGCTGACAATCTTAACTAGGGCTTATTTTGTGGGTATGGCTTATATTACAAACGTCCTGAAAAATCATGCTAGGGCTTATTTTTTTGTTTTGGTTTTATTGTCAAGAAATATGGTAGAACTACATACACTTATTGTTATAATATCAATTCCTGAGCTTTGGTGTCATAATTATTTAAGATATAACCATTAGAGGAAACTAGGTAATATATACAAAGCACTTCTCCCTGTTGTTTTTGCAACTCCTTATGAATCTATAATGATTTCAGCCAAAGAAGAGTATTTACAAAAGAGCACTCTGGCACTGGATAGAACTTAGCAATAGAGCATTCAGCCAACCATGCATGAGCTCTGAGTTTTGCTCCACGGCACTGAAAAAAAAAATTAAAGAGCATTCTGATGGGTGTGAGAAGGAACAGACAGGATGAAGGTAGGAATAAACAGCCTGGATACTTCTGTCAGGTGAAAAGTGCTATCAGAACTATTACCTTATTTGTTGCTTTAGAAAAGACTGGTAAAATGAAGACTGGGTTAGAATCAGTAGGACCTTGGTAAAAAAATATGTGTGTGGGAGGTTAAGGAGAAAAAGGACTCTGGTATGATTATGGAATCTCTAATTTGGGTGACTAAGTAGACTATAGGCATCTGTAATGAAAGAGATGAAAATCTATGGGCCGGGGAGATGGCTCAGTAAAATAAGTGCTTCCCTGGTAAGCATAAGGGCCTGAGTTCAGTCCCTGGTTCCGAAAAAAAAAAAAAAACAGAAATCAAACATATAAGAGATGAAAATCCTGAATATACTGGCACATGCCTGTAATTACAGCTACTTGAGAGGATCATCAATTTCAGGAAAGCCTGGCCAATTTAGTGAGACCTTATCTCAAAATTTAAATGGGGAGGGAGACTGGGTATCTAGTTCACTATTATTTTTTGAGACAGGATATCACTGAGTAGTCCAGACTGGCCTTGAACTCACAGTGATCCTCCTGCCTCAACCTCCTTAATGCTGGGATTACAGGCATACCTAGTAAAGTCACTGTATTATAAGTTCAATCACCAGAGTTTAGAAACATGAGATGTAAATAGAAGCCATATTTTTCTGGTCTGCTATCTTTTTAAATCTAAAAACTATTTGATTGGGGGGTTATTGTTATGATTTTTTTACATGAAGTCTAGCTACATTGCCTGAGCTGGGCCCCAATTCCTGGGCCCAAGTGATCCTCTTGCCTCAGCCTCTACGTAATTGGGATTATAGGCATGTATCAGTATGCCCAACCCAAAAAGGACCTATTATGATGACATAATAGGGTTTTAGAGAATTTTGTGAAAACCCTTAGTTTATCACGAAACTAAATATTCACATAATTCTTCCTTAGACTTCTTTCTTTGTCTAGCCTGGTATGTTTACTTAAATTCAATATAACTACAAACTATGTGATATTTTCCTTTGATTTTTTTTCTAAAAAATTATCTTGATTTTTAAAAAATTTTATTTATCTATTCATGTGTGTGTGTGGCCAGCTCAGCCCACCAGGGGGCGGGGCTGGCTGGCATGTGGTGCTGGGGGATTGAACCGCAGTCCCTGTGCTTTGCTAAGCTTGTTCTAAGTAGGTGCTTTAGACCACTGAGCCATCTCACCAGCCCCAGCTGATTTTTAATAATGTCATCATAATAGGTCCTTCTCATGGTTTTTAAAAGGACTTAAATGTATAATATGTGCAGAATACTTAACATATTCCACTACCTAATAAATGCTTGCTACTGTTACTATTGCTAATGATAAAAATTATAACAAAAACTTAGAAGAAGCCAGGTGTGGTGGCACTTTAGCTGTAATCCCAGTACTTGGGAGGCTGATGCAGGAGGATTGCCATGAGTTCAAGGCCAACCTGGGCTATATAGTGAGTTCAACACCAGCCTGAACTGCATAGGGAGACCCTGTCTCAAAAAAACATTGAAAGATATTGAAATGTGATAGAGCCTGATAATGGTAGCTAGCTATATAAATGGTCAGATGTTCTACAGCCTATTTTTTCTTAATTTTTTATTTTCTAGTTCCTTCAGTGATTCTTAAAGAATGGTCGGCCTATAAAGGGAAATCACCTCAAACTCCTGAGCTGGTATCTGCGCTAACATTTCGGGAATGGACCTGCCCAAACCTCAAGAAGCTCTGGCTGGGCAAAGCAGTTGAGGACAAGAACAAAAGGATGCGGGCTTTCCTGGCCTGTATGAAGTCAGATACACCTAGTATGCTCAATCCAGCTAATGTCCCTACACATCTGCTGCTTATGTGCTGTGTTCTCCGGTAAGTGCTGTGACGGGATAATGACCATTTCTAGTTCCTATGTCTTTTCCTTTCTTGACATTTCCTTTATACAAATGTTTTTATGGTATTTCAGGAAGGGAAGACTTTTGTTTTATGTTTGGCTTAGACCTCAGACATTGCAAATAATTTTTGAGATGTTTCCTCAGTTTATGATTCTTTGATATCCATCAGTCCATGCATGACCCTTCATTTGTTTTTATCTGAGTCCTCAATCCAGTTACTTTTTCCTTTCTTCTTCTAGTTATTACCACTCTTGGATATGTGTTTCTTTTTTAGCCATCTGTCTCAGTTACTTTTCTCTCATTGCTGGGACAAAATACTCGACACCCAAAAATAAGGAAGGAAAGGTCTATTTACCTCACAGTTTGTGGAGGTTTCAGACCGTACTAAGCTGGCTCCAAGACAGAGTGGCACATGGGAGAGGGCAGCCATTTATGTTGGTGGAAAATAGCAAAACACCCAGAGCAAAAAGGGAGGCTCAGCGGTAGAGAGCAAGCCTCTCTCCCTTCCTTATATTGTATTTAGGCTATCTGCCCAAGGCCGGTTGTAGCACTTACACACATAATCCCAGCATTGGATCATGAATTAATCACAAACTTTAGAAGTCTTCCCCATGCCTGCATGAGCCTTTGGAGTCAGAACTAGACACAAACCATGACACCATCTTTCCTGTATTTATTTAGACATATATTCATGCACAGTTCTATGGTTGGGGGTTGTTGCTTGGGATTTTTTTGTTTTGGGTTTTTTTGTGGAGCTAGGGATTGAACTCAGAGCCTTACATATATTACACTGTGTAGCACTGAGCTATATCCTCAACATTTTTTAATTTTGAGAATGGGTCTCACTAAGGTTCACAGGCAAGCAGTCCTCCTGCCTCTGCTCCTGAGTAACTGGGACTATAGACAAAGAAGTACCACTGAGCCCAGCTAGAAATAGCTTTTTTTTCAGACCTGGGTTTGATTTTTGTTTTGTCAAACCCATTGACTTACCTTTATGATATGTATTTTGTGTTCTAAATAAGACCACACAAATTCTTCCCTATTGCTGGATCATAAAGACACTTTTCTACATTTTCTTATATTTTTTAGTGTCTTCTATGTCAGGAAATAATATAGTGAATATTTATTCTATATATGCTGAGAAAAAAAGATCACAGTTGATACCTTCTTTGTCCTTTGATTCCTATTATTATCTTCTTGTGTCCCAGATTTCTATATATATATATATATGAATCTATTCCTGGATTCTGTTTTATTCTCTTTCCTATTTGATCCTTGATCAATGTCTCATTCTTTTAATTGTTGAAGGTTTATAATTTATTTTCATATCAGTTAGGACAAATCTGCATTCTTAACTTCTTGTTTCAAAATTGTGCTACCTATTATTGCAATTCATGGTCTTTTGTTTATAATTTAATATCAGTTTCACCAAAATATTGTTGGTTTTTTGACATTGCATTCAATTTATAAGTTAATTTGAGAACATCAACATCTTTATGATGGTGTGTATTCCCATCTGAACATCATAGTTTACCTCTTGCATTTATTCAGATCTCTTCCTTTATGTCTTGTAGAATTCTCTTTTTCTTCATAGAAGTGTATAATTAAAATTAATTCCTGAATATTATATATATATATATATATATATTGCTCTGATTATGAATAGTGTTCTATCTTCTATTCATGTTCTCATTGCTGATATTGAAGAAGTAAGTTTTTGTGCAAAAGGGAGGTCAGGTTCATCCTATAAGTCACCTTAGAGCCAAAGAACACTGAGATTTGAAATAGGTCAGGCTGAGCATGGTGGCACATGCTTGTAATATGACTTGGGAAACTGAGGCAGAAGGATCACTGCATGTTTGAAGCCTAGCCCAACCTGCATGGTGAAACTCTATCTCAAAAAGACAAAAAAAGGGGCCAGGGAGATGACTCAGTGGAATAAGTGCTTCCCTGACAAGCGCAAGGGCCTGAGTTCAATCCCTGGTTCTGCCAAAAAAATATGACAAAAAAGTCCAAACTTGTACAATATGATCCAAATATATAGTGAGTGCTTATATCAAAAAACATTACATTAAAAGATACATGGTCATTAATTCCCCTGAAAATGCTCCCCCTTGCTTCAGACACTTTTATCTCATCATTCTTGTCACTTTCTGAAACACTTCTAGATATCCTCTTTCATAAGTGTCTTTATGAGGTATGATCAAAATTTGGTGAATGCTATTGCTGAGTGCCATCCAGTAGAAAGGCACACTTGTAATGACATTACAGTGATGTGTCCCTACAGTGGTGTTATTCACTGGATCTGTCATCATGCAGCTGCTGTATCTTCCCCCAAAATCAAAATGTCTATGAAATGTAAATGTTTTGGCTTGAGATAGTCATGACAGCATAACCAAAGATATTCACAAAAGAGAACTTCCAGAACTGCTTTAGAAAGTGCAAAGAATAATGGAATAGGTGTTTTGAAGTAGGGACTAATGACAATGTGTCTTTTTCTGTAGTGATTTAAAAAAATTTCCTTGTAGTGTAAATTCTGTTTCTAGTACTTTTCAGCTGTAATAAATTACTCTAGCCTTTCTAAACATCACCATAAATGAGTATTATAATTCTTCTCAGAGTGGTTTGAGCACTGAGGTGATATGTGCAGGGGTCCTACCACATGATAGATGTTCAATCCATGTTAATTTCCTAACCACCTTCACGGTTAAATTGATAACTTACAAGATTTTTCCAATAATGGATAAATACTTGTTCCCAATGTGTTCCTAAAATACAGCCCTCCATTGTTACATAATTAAATCTAGAATTACAAGTTCTCTTTCTAAACTGTATAGTATTAGCTCACTCTCCCATTTATTTGGTTCTCTTGGTTATATCAAATATGTTCAGGATTGTGAAAATAACTTAAATGAATGGTGGCAAACTTACGTGTCTCGATTACTTTTCACTTGGTGCTGGGACAGCATACCCAACACCCAGAAATAAGGAAGATAAGGTTTATTTAGCTCACAGTTGTGGAAGTTTCAGTCCATATTCAGCTGATTCCAAGGCACAGTGGCACATGGCAGAGGGAAGCAGTTCATGTTGGCAGAAAGCAGCCATAGCCCAAAGGGAGGAGTGGGAGCAGGAGTAGCAGCAGCAGAGAGCAAGCCTCTCTCCCTTATGTTGCATCCAAGCTGTCTACCCCAGGCTGGGTGTGGCACTCACACCCATAACCCCAGCATTGGATCATGAATTAATCACAAAATCTAGAAGTCCACCCCATGACTGTATGAGGCTTTGGGGTGACAACCAGACACAAACCATAAGATGCATATTATGTGTTTTTCTTTTAAAATAAAACATGTTAATGTATAAATTGCTTTTTTTAAACTAAAACCTTAACATTCAGGTTTAATTGCAATTTTGGTACTTTGAGATAAAAAAAAAGTGGGTTTGGGTTGCACTTGAGCACTTGTCTCTAAAAGGTTCACCATGACTGATGTAAATCATCTAAGATCAGCTATCAGACTATTGTTGTAATAGTCTGATAGGGCCCTTCCCCAAAAGAGAATCACTCAGCCTCCTGCTCAATCCTTTCTATTCTTAGTTTAGACACTGACAATTTGGTCATTTGATTTCCAGTGTATAACAGATCAGAAGCAGCAAATTATAAAGTAGGTAAGATAGGAAGTAGAAGCTGCTCTTAGAATCAGCCTCAGTAGCAATGGTGATAATGATAGCATCCTGTCTAAAAGTAAAATAAAAGATATAAAGATTACTTTTTATAAAAGACTCCAAAAAGAAGGGACAACATCAGTCATTGCAGTAGGTAAGCAGAAAATTGCCTTATATAAATCAGTAACCTAGTATTTATCAAATTATCCAGAACAGGATAATTTGAACCAGGCATCAAATCATCTATTTGATACCTGGCAGAATGCCAAATCAACTTTTTGTGTATGATGTTTCTTATGACAGTGGTTGATTTTTTTTGTGTGTAATAGGGTCTCACTACACAGTTCACACTCGCTTTGAACTATCTGTGTAGACCAGGAGGCTTCGCACTCATAGCAGTCCTCCTGCCTCTGCCTTCCACGTGGTGAAATTATAGTCATATGCCACCATCCCCAGATTTTCATATTAATTTTTGTTTCCTTGTCCATGATATGTCCAATCCTCATAATAATGCTAAAAAAGTAGGTATTTGTATGCCCCCACCATCTACTCAAGGATGAATAAACAGATTTAAAAAGCAGTGACCCACTGTGTGGGGGGTGATGCACACCTATAATCCCAACAGGGGAGGATTACTGGATTCAAGGTCAGCCTAAGCTAAGTAGCAAGTCCAAGTTCAGTCTGAACTGAGACCCCCTTCTCAAAAAAAAAATCTAAAAAGCAGTGATTTTTAAAGATAACATAGCTAGTAAGTGGTAATGAGAGGTTTTGAACTTAATTCTCCAATTATTGTAATTTTAATGATTAACATAAAATCTGGCTTGACATTTAATTTTTTTTTGTGGTACCAGGGATTGAACTCAGGAGCTTGTGCTTGCCAGGCAAGCACTTATTCCATGAGCTATCTCCCCAGCCCCTTGACATTTAAATTTTAACTGTATCTTTTATAAGGAAAAATGTACTAAAAGCAATGATATAAAATTTCAAACCAGATGGAGAGCAACAATGGTTAGTAAGTACAGTGCTTATTATTATCTTCAGAGAGGCATGAAAAAATGATCAGAAGATATAAACACAAAACTTTATGAACTAATAGAGATTAATAGTATAGCTATCTTAATTATCTTATGTGTATATTTTTTTCCTTGTCCCTTCCTGCTTTTTTCTCCTTTCCCCCATCCCACTTTCTCTTTCTTTTTAAATACCTTCTTACAGTTTCCCAATATTTATTGCACATTTTGGATCTCATTTATTCTTTCAGCTTTTGGCACTAGGGAGACAAATACGATGCTTACACTTGCTAGGCTGATTTATTTC